GAGGGAGGGGGGAAGGGCAGCCGTAGGTGAGGACTGGTTGTCTATCAGAGGAAAGTGAAGGAGAAGGCTGGGCTTGAGGCTGTGAGTCTTTACACCTGAGGGGCTTCAGATAAGTTAGTCAAAGCTACACCCGCCTGGTCAGGCAGCAGGTCACTTGGCCTGCAGGTGCAGGTGGAGCAGTAAGTACTGTGTGGGGGGTGCCAGTGCCCTGCGCATATGCCTCCTGTAGGCCCCTCATGCAGCGCAAGTCGTGGTCAGCTCTTCCCACCTTCTCCTTTTCAGATAGGCTGAGGCCTCTGGTCTCAATCACAGAGAAGGTGTTGGGGCTTCAGCTGTGCTCCTCAGACCTGGGGTCCTCCCTTCCACGTGGGTCAGTGCAGTGACAGTGGAAGCAGTAGGCGCAGATGAGCCTGAGGGGAGTGGGGAGTGCCTGCCCCACCTAATGGCGGTCAGATTCAGGTTGTTAGTAAAACCAGTGCTGGCTTGTGACTCCTGCCTGGAGCCTTTTGAGTACCTCGTCTGGAGGGGTAGGTACTGCCAGAGTGACGTGAGTGTGTGGGTGGGAGGGGTTCGAACAAGCCTCCCAATTCTGGAATGTCCCTCTCTCCCTCGGGGAATGATGCAGGGAGTCTTCTCTGGTACTGCTGCTCCACCATGCCCACCCCGAGTCTGGATTAGGTGTCTCCTCTGGGACCCCGAAATATGCAGGGCTTCTCACCGCACTGACCCCATTGTGTGAGTCTGTCTAGCCATCAGTGAGTCTAAGACTCAAATGACGGTCATACTAAGCCTCTATTGTTGTGACACACGTGGGGCTTCAGGTGGCCTTGAGAGGGACAGAAGCACATGTGTGTGCACATACATATATACACACCCATGACTGCTGTTCTTGTCGTTGTTGGCTGAGCCTCGGTTGTGTAGGAAGCACACAAGATATGGGCTTATGGTAGGCAGCATTTCTAAAACGGCCCCCCAAAGATGTCCCTCTAATCTCTAGACCCTTTGAACATCGGCAGACAGCTCTCCTGGATTATGCTGGGCTGTATGGCACCAGTCAGCCGCTGGAGTCAGGGTTATATTTTCTCTGTCCGTCTACTCCAGGGCCTGGCACACGGTCATTTATTGAATGGAGTCAGGTCCACGGGTGGCCCCCTGACTCACAGTATGCGGTTGAGAGCCTTTGGGGAAAGGTTTGCGCTGGTGCCCCTCCATGCCCGGAAGCCCTCTGGGCAGAGTACACAGGGCAGGGGGCTTCAGAGTTCCCTGGGAAGATGCTGGCTGTTCTCTAGAAGAGCAAAGAGCATGCTGGGTCTTAACTTGGGTTTAGCATATTAATCAAATGTTATAATCAAAGGCTCTGGGATGCCTGGTTCCCAGAAGCTGAGGAGGGCTGAGGAGTGGGCCAGGGTAGGGTTGGGGACATGGCGAATGTCAGGGACAGCCAAGGGCCATAGGGCAGGAGGGGGCATCCGAGCAGCTGAGATGTGCTGTTCATCATCTCGTGTTGACAACCTGGTTGGGCAAGAAGGTCTGTGGCCCAGGAGGACAAAGCTGCTCCCTGGCCCCTTGGGCTCCCTGGCTTTGCTTGGAGCTGGTGTTCTCATAGTCCCACATCCTGCCAGCTTTTTTGGCAGGAGTGTGTTTTTGCCAGGTGAGCTTGTGGGCGGGAAAGGAGGGGGTGTGCCAGCTGGGACAGAGTGAGCTGGCCTACTCTGGTGCCCCGGGCGAGCACGAGGTGCAACAGGTGGGACTGTAAACAGGCAGATCTTGGCCTATCCTAAGGAAGTGCTTTCTAATAGTGGCAACAGATCATATTCTGTTTACCTCGTGTTTACGTGCCTAGCACTGGCCTGGCCCAGAGTAGGTGCTTGGGAAATGTTTTTTGAATAATGATTGAATGCTGATGTCTTATTCAGAAATGAAGTGAGCTCTCTGTTACTGGAGGTATTCGAGCAACAGCTGCCTTCATGAGAGGGTTGGAGCGTATTATCTTCAAAGCCCTTTGCAGCCAGGAGACCCCATGAGTCTATGACTTAGATGAAAGTCATGGTAACCCTCTGTTGTTGTGACACACGGGGGGCTTCGGGTGGCCTTAAGAGGGACAGAAGCACATGTGCGTACACACATACACACACACATACACACACATGGCTGCTGTTTTCACAGTTGTTGGCTGAGCCTCGGTTGTGTAGGAAGCACACGAGATATGGGCTTATGGTAGGCAGCATTTCTGAAACGGCCCCCCAAAGATGTCCCTCCATAATCTCCAGACCCTTTGGACATCACAGACTCCTGGGGTTATGCTGTGCTGTATGGCACCGTGGACCTCCAGAGAGGGAAGTTCCCAGGTGGGCCTCACCTAATCACATGAGCCTCGGAGCAGGGAGCTTTCCCAGGCTGGTTATAGACGGAGAGGTCAGAGAGATTCGGAGCACAGCACCACGTGCCATGCCTGCCTTTGAAGATGGAGAGGTCTGTGTGCAGGCATGGAGTGACCCCCGCCCAGGCCAGCAAGGAACCAGGGAGCTCAGTCCATGGCCACATGGCAACACCCTAAATGAGCTTGGGAGTGGATTTCCTCTCAGAGTCTCCAGGTAAGAGCTCAGTGTAGCCAACACCTTGATTTTGGCCTTTGACGCCCTGAGCGTAGAGCGCAGCTGTGCCCGCTCAGACTTCTCACCTGCAGCGCTGTGAGCCAGCGAACGGGTGTTGCCTGAAGCCACATGGCTGTGGCAGTTTGTCGTGCAGCAGGAGGAAATGAACACAGGACCCTCTCCTTGGGCTCTGTTTAGCTTTCCCAGTTTTCTGAGATACAAGCTTAGGGTTAGCTCTGGTTATTCCGAGTCCTTGTTTAAGGTGAGTGGGCCCTCAGGAGGGGTTGGCTCATCTGTTGTTAAGCCTTGAGCCTGCAAAGTCTGAGCTCTGGCCCAATGAAGTTCACATGTGACAACAGACGCTCGCCTGAAGACCACCGCTGGAGCCATGCATGTCTTCAAGAAGGAGAATTCTTTGGACATTAGCAGGTGGATACTGGCTTCCTCACTGGGCAGAAGAATATGGACATTCCTAAGACAATCCGGGTGGGGTGTTGGCTTAGTCAGCCTTCTGATCATTGGGGGCTTTTTTTTTAAAAAAAAATACCATTCTTACCTGTTGCTCACCTTACATGTCACCTTGCTTCTCCTCGGCAGGGCCAGCCATCAGGCTGCCCCGGCTGAGGCATGTGCAGAAGTTGGCATAGAGATTAAGAACAGTGACCTGGCAGGCATGCGAGTGACACAGAAGCCAGTCTCAGGGGACCCAAGGAAGCCTGTCAGAATGTGACAGGGAGTCCAAAGTAATGAATGGCTCTTCCTCTAAGTGTGAGTGTCCAAACAATGGCCAAGTGAGAACCTCATTAGTCGAGGTGATGATGGACTGACGGCAGTCGGCGTCTCCCTCGGCTCAGCGCCATGTGATGAATGGATGGCAGGCGTGGGGAAGCCTGGGGCCGAGGCTCCTGGAGTTCATTCAGGCTGAGTTTCCCAAACAGCCCAGTGCACCTGTTGTGCAGGGCCACAGGCAGGGCAAAACAGACACCTGGGAAGTGGCCGCCTCTGTTCCAGGTGTAAACAGCCTTGTCCCCAGAGAGGTGAGCCGCGGCAAGCAGAGGGTGTATGAACAGGGGAAGGAAATGTGGTTCCTGAAAAACAGTCGCTGGGTCTGTGAGGAGACCTGGCCAAGAGCCAGGAAGAAGACAGCTGCTTCCTGTGAGCCATGAGGCTCTTTTAGAGATGAACCAATTTCTCCACACCCTATAGATGTCACAGGTGCCTAGAGAAATGGAGGGGTGTGGTGAACTCTGGTGGGGCACGACTGTCACCAAGTCCTTTGCTGGTGGCTGCCGGCCCTAGTTGTAGTGGGATAAATATCCGTGAGGCTGCTGGGCCCTCTGGCACAAGGTAGGGCAACCGGTCTTCTTGTTTCTAGCATGGACACCATGGGGTGGCAATGCTAGGGGACTGCGTTCCATTGGAAGCAGAAGGGGATGCAGGAGAGGAGAGTGTTCAGGGTCTCAGCTCTCTGCTATTAACTCCTGTCCTGGGATCCTAGGACTTGGGGTGGTGTCATTTGAAATGTGACTACTTAGTTAATGAGGAAGGTGAGTATTTCACAGATCAGCATCACAAATAAGCATGAGCTTATAGCATTTTAAACCAACCTTGTGCCCACTTCTCCAGGAGTTTGTGAAGTCATATTTTGGTGCCAAGGTGACAGGTCCAGAGGGACCTGAAGTTGATGCTGAATCATTCCGTTTTTCATAACAGAGACACATGTCTGTGCCTGGCCAGCAGGAGCAGCTGGGAGGGTGCATGTGTCAGGCTGGAGGAAGGAGCAGCAGGGGTGACGGGGGAGCAGGTACCAGGGAGTGGCAGGCTGAGGGCTAGTCGCCACCTCGCCTCCTGACTCTGAGTAAGCCGTCTCCCATCTCCGGGCCCCTGACTCTTCTTCGATGAAACAAGCCAGAGGTTCTGGTCCATCGTCATGATGTCTTTTGGCTCCAATGCCCCGAATTTCTAACTCTCTGAAGTTCTTTCTAACTTCTCTCTGTGAGCCTGCTCATGGTCCTTCCTGAGACTGGTTGTATGCTGGGACTAGAGTTTGGGTTATCTGAAGATAGCATGCTGGTTGGTTTGACATTGTCCTTACCTCTCCTGTCGTGGGTGGTCTGCCCTCTGTCTCCTGAGACACCGCCTACTCTAATGCTCTGTGTGCAGTGCAGACAGCCCATGGCCATTGTCAGTGACAACAGGGATGGGTATCTGGATGGCTGTTCTGTATCTTATGCAAAGAGACGTATGTAAGAGCAAGGCACAGATAATTAGATCTTCTTAATGGCAGGGCCAGCATCAGCGATTAATCAGAGCAAAATTCTCCTGCCATGTGCATAACAAGACTCTTTATCACTTGCCCCAATTAGCTACTGATGTCTCCCACTTCTCCTTGTCCTTGGCTTTTAGAAAGAAAAGTTTCAAGATGATTCGGTCCCAGTCCCTGTCTCTGCAAATGCCAACGCAGCAAGATTGGAAGGGCCCCCCGACAGCCACTCCGGTCATGTCTCCCTCAACCCCTGTGCTCCCTGGAGCACCTTCCCAGGCCATGCCAGCGCTCTATGCCATGCCCGAGTACCAGCGGGTAACCATCAGCGGAGATTACTGTGCCGGGGTAAGGTGTCTCCCCCTCTCCGCTCTCTGTGGACTCCCTGGGGGTGTGTGAGGGTTATTCGTGCCTTGTGCAGAGGCCAGGGTCCCTTGGCCTGTTGGGGTTATGCCCAGCCATGAAGCCTGGCCTGGTCTGTAGGTGTCTGGGAGGTAGTGGGCAGGAGGCACAGGAATCGGAGAAGAAGGAGGGCCCTGGCTGAGGATGTGGGTTGTGGGTGTGTCAGGGTGCTGTCCGTCCCTGTAAGGGCTATGGGCTGGCACACCAGAGTCATGGTCTCTCAGTTCCGTATCTTCTCTGACCCTGTAGCGCCAGGGGTGTCCAATGTGCGGCCACGGGCCACATGCAGTCCAGGGTGGCTGTGAGTGTGGCCCAACACAAAATCGTAAATTTACTTGAAACACTATGAGATGTTTTTGTGATTACATGTTGCAGTGTATTTAATATGTGGCCTAAGACAGCTCCGCTTCTTCCAGGGTGGTGCAGAGATGCCAAAAGGTTGGACACCCCTGCTAGCCCGTCAGGGAAGGGGCCAGCTTGGGCCCTGTAGTATTCCCAGTCCTTGAATGCAGTGAAAGTCCTTGTGTTGATTCGTTTGCTGATGTAGCTCTTCCCACATGCTTAGGCTCAGTACCCTTAAATATAGCCCAGCCCACCCGGTAGGAAGAGAGGGCCTTCAGGAGAAAGTGAACATGGTGATTTGCACACCACATCACTGAGGACGTGCTGATTTCACCTAGTAGGATGATGCATTTTTACTGCTCATTTGGGAAGAGAAATATCACTAAAGTTAGCGCTGAGGTTAAGTTTGGTTCTATCTCCCTGGCCCTCAGCCTACTGCGCGTGCCTCAGTCGGCCTTGTTATTCTCGTTCCTTTTCCTTTTTAACTGCAAGTTTAGAATACATAGTATACCCGAGAAAGCAGAGCGGCTCACTGCTCTTCTTACACATTTCCCCCTAGCTATAAAATATATATATATTATTTGTCCGGTAATAGAGAATTCTTGTGTATGGTATAAGACTTAAAAGGTACAAGAATTTTATCAGTTTTCCAGCCACTCAGTTCTCTTTCTTAGAGGCAGCCCTTGGTTTTTGTTTTTTGTGTGTTTTCACAGATGGCCCATGTACTTTATAATGAATAATGTGCACATAGTTTATTTATTCGTACAGAAATGGTAGTTTACTTACTATACACGTGACATAAATGAGCCTAGCTTTTTTCCACTTAACAGTGCATCTTGGAGATAATGCCTTATCAATAGATAAAGAAACTCCTTGTTCTTTTTTACAAATGCATGGTATTTCACTATGTGGATGCACAGTATCTTTCTTCAGCACCCAGGGGTGGGAATTTTGATTGGATTGGAAACACTGCAGGCCTTGTCTAAAGATGCAGCATCTTGACCAGGAGCCCTTGGTGTCCGCCCAGCCTCCCACGTGTGGGCAGAGTGGGGGACAGGGAGAGTCAAGGTGGGCTGATAGTTAGCTGAGTGGAAGGACATTGGCCTGGGGCATGAACTGGCTTCTTTCAGTCAGTCTCCTGGCTGGCATGTCCTAGGGCACAGAGCCCCTGAACCGGGCAGCTGGCCCCAGAGAGCTACAAGTCTGTGACAGGCAGGCTGACCTTGCAGATCTCCTTGGCCCCCAGGGGCTCTGCTGTCAGGCTACAGGTGGGTTGGTGGCTGCTGGTCCACTGGGGACCTGAGCACCCTCTCGGACATCTTTAGCTATGGCCTGAGCCTTGCTGTGCTGAGTCCTTCGGTTCTGCAGACAGTGTTTGGCTTCGTTGTTGGCAGGGCTATATTTTTGTCTAAGGTGTTTGTGTCTGCTCACCCGTTCCCGCTGCTCTCAGAAGCCATCCACAGGAAGGACTAAAGTGGAATTAACACACCTTCATGGGGACACTTGGGGTCAGGAAAGGAGGAGAAGCTACTTACTTAGCAAGAAACAACAAATAACATTTAGTAAAAGCATAAAAAGAGGCGTGGAAAATATATATGCCAACTTCCTTCCTCTGAGGATGGAGTGGTGCGGGGGAGGGAAGAGGGCAAACTTTTAGCTGTATTTGTGATGGTTTATTCATTCATATATACAAGAGATCGAAACAGTGATGAAAAATATTAAAATTGCTCGCTCTGGAAGGAAGATACATGGGTGTTTGTCATATTATCCTCAGTGCTTGTCTGTGTGTTTAAAATACTCCAGAACTAAAATGGTTGTTGAACTAGAGCAGAAGAGGACATCATCAGGCCTCAGCCCTCCCCACGTTCCTCTCCGCCCGCCTCTGTCCCCGCTCAGCCGTGTCCCCTGTCCGCTGTTGTGACAGTTTGGCTGCTTGTCTCCCAGGCACATTGGGACTCTGCCCCACACGTCCTTCCCAAACAGTCTGAGATCAGTGAGCTCGTTGGAAGGTGGGAATTCATCTCATGCATCCTTGGACAGCGGGCAGCCCTGGGAAAGCAGACATCCTTGGGCACTGGGAATCACTCAGATTGGACTCTGATTCTGTGAGTTCCTGGCGAGGGATTTATCCTCTCTGGGTCTCAGTTCCCCTGTCTGTAAGATGGGTTTCAGTGAGGACCAAATCAAATCTACAGAAAGAGTCTGGCACGTGACGTGTGCCAATTAGCACTTGTTGACTGATGACTTGGGGTGATTGACAATTGACAGATGAATCGGAAGCCTGGGGATGGCATAGCAGCACACTGAGCATTCAGGGGTTTTTATTTTTACCTCCAGAGGGCCCATATATTTTCTCAACTGAAAATGATAATACCCACCCTCATGAGGTGTATGGTCCAGGTTTTCCTTCTGCGTGTGCCAGGTGCGGCAGGTTTGTGGTTTAGTTAGCAGCCTTGGGGGCTGGCCTGGGGGTGTGCAGGCTGGAGTACCTGCCTCCCTCCCAGCAGCCCTAACTCTCCTCCTGTGTTGGGGGTCCCTGAGACCACCCCCCGGGGTCAGTGATCTGCCAGGAGGACTCCTAGGACTCAGTACGTAGCTGTACTCTCATTAGGATTTCTTACAGTGAGAGGATTCATAGCAAAATCAGCCCAGGGCACAGGCCCCTGAGGTGGAGTCTGGAGGAGACCCTCTCCCAGTGGGGTCACCGCAACACAATTCCTCAGCATCAGATTGTGACAATATGTGTGAAGTGTCATCTACCACAGAGGCTCATTAGCGACTCAGCGCCCAAAGATCTTATTGCAGCTGGTCACACATCTGCATGGCACATCCTGCATTCCAGGCTCCCAGAAGGAAATCGGGCGTTCAGCCTACACCAGAATGTGTGTGTAAACAGAGTGTTTGTGTAAACAGTGAACCACTCTGATTAGTCAGGGAATGGTGGGAATGCTTCCGAAACCCAAGTTGCCAGCTACCAGCCAAGGGCCAGCCCTGCGGCAGATCTTGCTAAGGACAGCGGTCTCAGGCTGGCTACATGAACTCTTTTCTGTGCACCTTCTTCTGCAGATCACTGTGGAGGACTATGAGCAGGCTGCCAAGAGCCTGGCCAAGGCCCTGATGATCCGGGAGAAGTATACCCGACTCGCCTATCACCGCTTCCCACGGACCACCGCCAAGTACCTGGGTCATCCACAGGCGGACACGGCACCCCTGACGGAGGTCCTCCCAGGTACGCTGCCAGGCTGCAGGTGGGGTTTCAAGTGGGACACGGCCAAGAGTTGGTCAGGACATTTCACTAGCTGGATGCATTTCCCCTGGATGGTGCCGTAAGGACAGGGCCCTGATGCTGGTTTCTCCTACTGAGTTTGCTGGCTTCCCCAAGACTGAGTCTGTGTGTTGCACCCTGTGTGGGGCTGAGCTGTGGAAGTTAGGAGAGAGTGGAAAGACAGTCTGGATTTTGGAAGTTTCCCAGGGAGACAGGCAGGCTCATGTTGGGTATTTGAAACAACATGGTCAGCCGTTAAATGCCTCACTGGTGGTGGGTGGGGGTAAGTACAGTGGGCATGTTCTGGGGCAGGAGAAGTAGGTTCTAGAGTCAAACCTACTTCTTTATATTCTGACCTAAGCGCTGCCACTTTATTGGGCAAAGTATTTCCCCAAACCTCAGTTTCTCAAGCTGCGAAATGGGAATACCAACAATGCCTATCCTCTGGGCCTCCTGAGAGCATGATGTGAAGGAAGGCAGGTGAAGTTCTCCGTGCAGTTCTGGCATCTAGTGCGTGTTCGATAACTGGCAGCTTTGTTTGTGCTGCGGGGTTTGGGGGGGGAGGTCAGCGAGGGCAGGACGGTTTCTGGAGGGATCTGTTTGGCCTGCAAAGGGCCCAGGAGCAGCAGAGACTGTAGGAGAGTGATGCAAATGAGGACAACAGGAAACCTCGGTACCAAGAGTTGGTGGGGGGACCCAACGAGGGCCTGGTGGTCTGTGCCAGGGCCTGTGAGTGGGCTGCCCCCTGCCCCCTGGGTGTAGCTGGTGCCATCTCTGGCTTTCTCGAAGCTCTGAGACCTGGCCTGGGAGCATCTGTTACCCCCGGGGCCCTGGGTACATCCCAGCCCTTCTGAGGGAAGTTGGTGACACCTGCCACGTTTTGGGAAAGGGCAGACAGGAGTGGCTGTCAAATGTGCACTTTATACAGAACAGAGTACCTGGGGGTCCTAGGCATGAGTGTGGTGAGGTGGAGGCTGCGGTTTCACCTAGGCGGTTGTACTGCCTGTGTCCCACAGGCCACTGGCACGTTTTAGGGACTCCTGAGCATCCTGTGGCTGTGTTTGATGGGTGCATCTCAGTTCCCAGCTCTGTGCTGCTTCAGCCCATGATGCCTGACATCTGCTCCGAGCACTGATGTGGGGACTCCCAGGCAGGGCACCCCACACTGGTTGTTTCCTTTGATGAAGACTCCAGGATTTCCTCCTGCCTGGGCTGGCATCTGGGCAGCTGGACTGTATGTGGGGTTGGCTAATATACAGAGGGGAAGCCCCCAGGTCCACTGCTATTAAGCAGAACCTGTTCCTTGGCCAGAGAGAGAGCCTATGGTGAGCCAGGAAAAGTCATCATGAAAATAATGCTCTATAATTTATGAGTCTGGCATTGCTATTTACAAAGCATCTTCCTGTACCCTCTATTGCCACCCTCACAACAGGCTGTTAAGGCAGGGGGTGTCATCCTCAGATGAGCAGAAAGGATCAGAGGTAAAGGGGTTTGCTCAGTGTCTCATAGCTGGGAAGTAGCCAGGAGTACTTTTCTGCCTGCCGTGGGCTAATTCACCCCATAGTGGTGGGCACAGACAGCTCTGCTGTTGGCACTCCCTGCTGTCTGGGACACAAGCCTTGGGCTGTGCTCCCGTGGGGAAGGAGCAGGGGGCTTCCTCACCTAGCCCCCTGGCCGCCCTGGGCTCGGGAAGATGTGGGAGGACTGGGGCAGTCGTGCTCCCTGGGTTCCCAGCTGCTGTCCGTTCTCTTATTAGAAGACACAGCTGCCGTTTGAGAATGCCTGGTGGCCCTGAAGTGCCCAGGAGGCTTCAGCTCATTTCAGCTGAATTAAAAAAAAATCTGCCAGCCGTGTTCCAGGGACTGCTCTAGGAAATGGGGATCCAGCAGGGAACAAAACACACATATACTACCCAAGATAACTAAGTGAAATTATTTTATATAGTAGTAGTTGCTAGGGAAGCAAAATAAAGCAGGGAAGGGGGTGTGAGATGCCGGGGGGGGTAGGGTGGGGTGGGAGGGGGGTAGTTGGGTTTTATATAGGATGACCAGGACAAGCCTCACCGAGAATATGACTTTTGAGCTCACATGAGCTCAGGAGGTCAAGGGCACTTGGCCATCACTCAATCTTGTTTTGCAGACTTCCACCCTCTCCCACTGCCCCAGGAAGACCCTTACTGTCTAGATGATGCTCCCCCCAACCTGGGCTACCTGGTCCGCATGCAGGGGGGCATCCTCTTTGTGTATGATAACCAGAAGATGCTGGAGCGCCAGGAGCCCCACAGCCTGCCCTACCCCGACCTGGAGACCTACACCGTGGACATGAGCCACATCCTGGCCCTCATCACTGATGGCCCCACGTAAGCCTGCTTTCCCCCAGTCTGCCTCTCCTTGTACCGGTGCTCTTCTGTAGGAAAGGGGCTGGGAGAAGCCATCTAGTCACCCCTTTGCTCTGGGTGTTCCTGTCCTGAAACCATCTCAGAAAGAGTGGACCCCCCTTTACCCAGTGCTCTGTGGGTTTCTGCAACAATTCTCCATCATGGGCTGGCATATTCTTGGAGCTGGTCTCACCTGTCCTACATGCATGGAGATGGAGCTTCTGTTTGCTGGGGGCCACCTGCACACCTTAGAATGGCTGTCACCGGTTCTCCCAGGCACGGTGACAGCCTTGCAGTTACCAGCCTGGGCCATTCCTATAGATGGTGGAGGAGTGATGAAGACTGTTGCTTCCTATGTTGGGTTTTCTGTGTTTCTGGAGGGGAGCGGGCAGGGAGTCTGGGAGCTTTGTGCCACGACACCCCTGGGATGCTTGTGGGCTTGGCTTGTACTAACCTGGCAGGAGGTTGTCTTCTTGAATGTGGCCCCTCACTTTTGGGTGAGCATTTAAGCTCATCAGCCATGGACGTCCAGCATGACTGGATGCTGAGTGGCTGTGCTGTGTGTGCCCAGACAGGACAAAGGGCCTGGGGGAGGGAGAGGGTGCTGGTTACCCCTGAGGAACTCTCTTGCCCTGCCTGTTGGGTTTTGCTGGGAATGGGCCTGAGGCAAGGGAGGAGAATGGACTTTAGGGGGATGGGTAGGTGGCTCCTGCCCCCCACTGATCTGAGGGAAGATAAGAGGGGTGGGGGAGGGCAGTTCCTGAGAGGCTTGCCTCAGGCAGTGTGAGGACCTTTGAGGGAAAGCCTTGAGAGAGGGGGAAAGACAGTGAGGGTGTGGCTGTTATGCTGAATCCTGCTGGGCACAAGGCCTGGGGGAGATGACCTTTGAAATCCCTGAGACTCTCCTGCGCACCTCTCTGGGGCTCTTTGTGAAAGCCTGAGCTGCACTAATGGAGCTGCCGTGGGTGGGGGCGCAAGGAAGCAGATGGCACGAACTGTGGTTGAAGGTTCCGTTTGGCTGTGGACACAGGCGTGTGGCCAGGCATCCGGGCTGGGTGTGGGATGGCAGTTGGCCTCAAGCAGTGAGCACCCTAACCCTGATGGGTTTTTTGCCAGCTGGTGGGGGCACCGGTTTTAGCAGAGATTTGTGTCTTAGTAACGAACATCGCTGCATTCCCCATCTGCCCACAGTGCAAACCTCAGAGTTGGGAGGTCCCTGGGTCTTGGGGTCTGGGGAGACCGTTTGGTCAGATGGTGATTTCTCTGCATGCCAAGGTGGGCAGGTCACGCCTGAGAGCTTGACTGTATTATTGGTTTCCTGGGCAGAAGTTAAATTCCTTTCAAAGAATTGAAGTGTCTGAGGGTAGATGGGAGGAAAACAAAAGGAAAGGGTGAAGGAGGGAGACTTCACTGAGTGTCCACTCTGCTCAGAGGCAGGCCCTTCACGTGCATAAACCAATTTAACCTTCCCGTTAATCTTGGGCACTGCCAGCTCTGTATTTGTTCATGGGAAGTAGAGGTTCAAGACCAACTGCCTAAGCACATAAAGCTAGAAGTCAGAGAACCTGTATGAGGTTGCAAAGTCAGCTCCACTGCCCTGGGCCAGCTGCCCGCTCATTTTGTAGAGCACGTGGATGTGGTTACACAGCTCAGGTGGGCTGGTGGGGAACCTCTTCAAGCCCTCCCTGCTCCATCCTGACCTTCCACCCAGGGGTCGGCCCCTGCACACATCGGACGGAGGTCCCCAAGCTGGAGAGCTTGACTCGACTTCTCCTCACTGTGGTATCTCCCCCTTCCCAATCTGCAGGAAAACATATTGTCACCGACGACTGAACTTTCTGGAATCCAAGTTCAGCCTTCATGAGATGTTAAATGAAATGTCTGAGTTCAAAGAATTGAAGAGTAACCCCCACCGAGACTTCTATAATGTGAGAAAGGTGCGTTCGTGGGCCAGTGTGCAAACCCCTCCCAGTCACCCTCTCAACCCACTGGCATGTGCGGAGCCCGTCTGGGGTTGGCCCACTGTGTGGCCTTCCTTGGGCAGAGCAGTGAGATGTGATGTGTGGAAGGAAGACCGGCGTGCTGCCTTCCGTGCAGCAGGCCACGATGGCTCCGACGGTGCTGGGTATCCCTGCTGTGTATCTGTTGGAGTGAGGCCCTCTTGCTTGGAAAGTAGACATGACCTCTTAATTGGTCATGAGTTGAGGACAGTTACGTGAAGGTAGAGGATATATTAAATTCATCATGGAGAAAAAAGGCTGACTTCTTTGGACTTGGGAGTTTGTGCTTTCGCTTCCTTTGGGATCAGGCGTGTTTAAAAAGCACATGCTCCCTCTCAGCCCCTTTGAGAGAGCTTGGCCTGGGCTCACGTGGTAAATGACATTGGTCTCTGGCTTTCCCATTTTTTTCCATTTAACTAATATACAGCAAGGCAAGGGATTAGTGCTAAGCATGGGGCATTTGATGTTGAACAAGAGTCACTTCCTCACCATAAGAAGTTCCCAGTCAATGTGATGGGAGCAGCTTTGGGAGAGGCAGGAACTGAGATGACTTAAAGAGTAGGATTTAACCAGGAAGAGGGTGGGGTCAGGGAAAGGAAGTGATGGCATCCCAGGCCGAGGTGACAGCACTGCAAATGCCAGGAGGGGGAGAGTGGTGTTAGAGAGGAGAGGGACGGAGCCCTGGGTCAGCATAACTGCAACAGTGCAGTGTGGCTGGAGCTCAGGTGTAGAGGGAGAGGCGGGGGGAAGGGAGGCTGCAGAGGTGTGTGGGGTTCTGGATCTCGCAGGGCCCATGGGCCTCTCAGAGGAAGCAGGGAGTGGCTGGGGAATGGTAATTAGCTGGGAGAGAAGCTCACGGGGAGGAGGATGGGATCAGGCTACCTGCTGGGAGGAGGAATGATCACACCTGAATCACAGTATAGTCATTTCCTCCACAGGGCCCTTTGTCCCAGATGGGACCACTGGGGGACTGCCCCTTCCCTGGGTCATCTTTGATAAGGGAGATCTCGGCCAGGGAGGGTGTGGCTCCCTTGGGCAAGCCCAGCTCTGGCTGGCCTCACTCAGCAATGGTAGGCAGGAGGCTCCCTCTGGGGAGACCCCAGGATCATGTCTGTTAGGTATCCTGGCATCTGGCAAAGATTCCCACTTGGATGGAGTCCTTAAGAAATGAGAGTCTGGCTTCAGCTCATGGTCTGTGAGTCTTGTGGAAGTGTTTGGGGATTTGTAGACGGAGGTGAAAGGGTGTATGTAGATACTACCTACCTGGCATTTTCACCTTCAAGCACCATTTGTGCTTCTCTGTGAGTCTCAGGTGTTCAGACAGGTGGGTGCCTCAGTGTCTATACCGGCTCCTCTCAGCTCTGCCCAAATGCACCCTGCATGCCCAGCACGTGCCCAGATGGGTGTCCAGGCCCACGCTGTCCTGCCTGCTGTGTGTGAACGCTCTGGGCCTGATGGCTTCCTGCTGCCTGGGTCCAGGGGTCCTTGCTGGCAGCACCGGTTCCAACTCTGTTTGCTTCTGAGGGGGGCCCCAGTGGGTGTTCTGGGCCGACCAGCTAATCTCTGGCTACAGTATGAGAGAGTTCTTGTGGGGTTCTGTTATACCCCAGAGCCTATCCTCAGGGTTCCCTGTCACTCTGGGGTTATGTGCTGTCTGGACAGAGATGGCCTTGACCCCTGTGCTGTGACACTATAACCGAATGCAGGTCTGGCTGCTTGCCACTATGAAAGCCAATACTTGAGGCAGTTGCTGATGTAAAGGAAAGTGGTTTATTTGCAGGTGCCAGCCACCTGGAAGATGGGGGACTCGTGTCCCATCTCCATCTCTCAGTGGAGGCAGAGGTGTTTATAAGGAGGGAGAGGGGAAGAGAACAAAGAGATCAAGGGAGGGGGCTGAAAAGTCCTCTATGTGCACAGGAGCCCAGCCCATTCCGAGACGGACAGTGATGGTCCGGTGTGCGTCATCCTGGCTTGGTCATCCTGGACCCATGTCATCCCAGCTTCTCTTCATCCTGGCTCCATGGTTGAAGGCCAGCACACCTCCTGGAGCTGGGATGCCTGAAGTCTGTCTCTTCTGTAACACTGACATCTAGTGAGGTCTTTTATGTGTTCTCAAAATAATCATCTTGGAGATTTTGAAGTTTGGATGCTTCCTGGATTGTCCAGTTGTTTTCCTCCCTCATCTTGTGACTCAGGGGAGCAAAGACATACTGTACCCCTGCAGTGTGTCACCGGTGAGCAGGAGGTGATGACCGGAAAACCCAGGATGTGCTGAGTCATGCTGAGGTGGTTGAGCCCAGCTGTGTCTGGCTGCGCTAAGCCAAGCTGACCTTCCCTTGTGTGGCCACGTGAGCCCAGCCCATCCCTGAGGTGCCTGAGCCTTTGTAGTGTGCTTTCGGTGCTTGTAATTGTTTCTTTTCTCTGATGTCTAGTGGCCTGTCTTCCTGTATTAACGGCAGGAAGGGCCTTGATGAGTGACATGGGCTGGCTGGTATAATGCTCAGACAGGTTCAGTAGATCAAATGTCTGGCTTGGCATGACTTGGAGATGCCTGGCCAGCATGGACAGCATTCCCAGGCCTGGCACAGTGCCCAGTTAGCCGCAGAAGTAACTGCAGAGTGCAGTGTGGCAGCCAACAGCACCCTGGCTTGTGAGGCTGCCGCCACCCTCCTGGGAACCTCTCTTAGGCCCTTTGGGTGCTTGGAAGGGGAGCCAGAAGGCCCACTGTGACCTTAGGTTGCCCTCAGCTTAGCCAGGGCTCTGTTTCTTTGAAGCTGGTAGCTGAAGGTAAGGCTCTGGGGGTCTAAGAGAGGTCAGTAGGTAGAGTGGGATTTTGTGGGCTCTCAGTGTTATATGAGGATGTGGATATTATCAAAACTACTGGGACCTATTATACCTGTTCATTTGTTTTATTCATCCATCCATTGATTTAACGAATACATTGTATCAGGCTCTGGGGATGGTGCTGGAGGCTTAGATGCTTCCGACATGGTCCCTGTCCTTGAGGAGCTCCCAGTCTAGTGAAGGGGCAGCTGGGAAAATAAGAGTGGATCAGGAGGACATGCACAGCACAGGGAGAGTCTGTGCTAGGTTCCCAGGTTGGGTGAGGGGAAGGCTCATCAGTGGTGCTTGGGGGGTCGGGACTGGCTTTCAAGTGGAGGCTGTAGGAAATTTCCAGGTGGATGAGAGCCATGAGTAAAAAGGAAGGAATGCCGGCCGAAGGAGTGCACGGGCAACGTGACGTGGTGTGGAATAGCCTGGTGCCTGTGGCCTCTGGAAAGGCTGTGTCGTGGCTGGAGCAGAAAACAGGGCAGGGCAGGGCAGGGCAGAGATAAGGCTTGAAGTCAGCCTTGAATCCCAGGCTAAGGAGCTTGAGCTTAATCTCAAAGACATGAGGGGCATTGATGTTTTGTTATGAGGAGAGTGGCTGGATCCAGCCTACAATTTAAAAAGATCTCTCGATGCTGGAAGGAGGGGGATTGGACAGCAAGGCCAGAGGAAAGGAGACCAGTCCCAGCATCTAGAGAAGAAATGGGGAGTGGGCATCCAGGCACTGGTGGGGGCCGCCTCCACAGCCCAGAAGGTGCTGAGGCTCTGTGCTCCACCTCAAGGGTTGGGAGTCCCACCTATTGTTGCCAGCGGGGGTGCCCCGGCTCACAGATTGGCGGGCTCTGTGTTGCAGGTGGACACGCACATCCACGCAGCTGCCTGCATGAACCAGAAGCACTTGCTGCGCTTCATCAAGCACACGTACCAGACGGAGCCGGACAGAATTGTGACCGAGAAGCAGGGCCGGAAGATCACCTTGCGGCAGGTGTTCGACAGCCTGCACATGGACCCGTATGACCTCACTGTGGATTCGCTGGACGTCCATGCGGTGAGTGAGCGGCTGCCCTGGTGCCTCCAGCGGTCCTGGCTGGGGACTCAGTCCCCCGAAACAGAGCCACGATTGTGCTTGGAGAGAGGCTGGCTGTGTAAGCAGCTCCTTCTCTTCTAGCCATGGAGACCATGAGGGATCATTTGGCCTCAGCACAGCGGGGCTGGAGCAGCCCTGGGACAGGGGACAAGAGTATGCCACTTGAGTCAGCAGGTCCCAGGTCTAATTCCACTTCCGTCACTGAGGAGTTGTGTGCCCGTAAGCAACTCACAGTGCAGCTACTATAGGAAACAGTATGGAGTTTCCTCAAAAAGTTAAATATAGCATTACCATAAAGTCCAGCAGTTTCAGTCCTAGGTATGTTGCCAAGAGAATTGAAAGCAGAGACTAAAACTGGTACTTTCATCTCAAGGCTTCTAGCAGCGTTATTCACAATGCCCCAAAGGCAGGGGCAGCCCAAGTATCCGTCAGTACATGAATCAAAAAACAAAATGTGGCCTGTCCGTGCAATGGAGTGTTTCTCAGCCTTCAAAAGGACAAGAGTCTGATATCGACCACAGTAGGGATGATCCTTGAGAACATTACACTAAGTCAGAGGAGCCACATCCAAAAGGACAAATAGTGTTTGATTCCACTTGTCTGAGGCACCCAGAACAGGCAAGTTCATGGAGACAGAAAGGAGAGTAGAGGTTGCTGGGGGCTGTGGGGAGGAGAGAATGGGGAGTTCTTGTTTAGTGGGCCCAGAATTTCAGTTTTACAAGATGGAGAGAGTTCTGGAGACGGATGGTGACAATAGATGCACAACAACATGCATGTGTTTAACGCCACTGAACTGTGCATTTAAAACAGCTATGAGAGTAAATTTTGTGTTATGTATGTTTTACCACAATAAAAGAATGTGTTGAAGAATGACATAAGGTGGAAGCAGTGCCTTCTGACATCTAAGCAGTAACAGGACACATGTTATGGATTGTTCAGTTGCTTAGTACTCTCTGCTCACTCGGCTGGCTTTGAGCCACAGTAGCTCAGGCCACAAGGCCCCCTGCCTGGTCCTCCTTCACGGAGGGCCTCACAGAAGGACCCCAAGGCTGACTGGGTGAGGGTACATGGGCCTGGCCCCAGGGCAATCCGAGAGTTTATGCAAGAACTGACATAGAAGACATCTTTCAGTGTGGCTGTGTGTACGACCACCTTGCAAAGGCCTGAGAGGGAAAGTGCGTGGTGGCCGCAGAATGGCGTGGTGAATCCGGCTGGTGGCCTCCTCTCTCCAGGGCCGGCAGACATTCCATCGCTTTGACAAGTTCAACTCGAAATACAACCCTGTGGGAGCCAGTGAGCTGCGGGACCTGTATTTGAAAACTGAAAACTACCTGGGAGGAGAGTACTTTGCTCGGATGGTCAAGGTGAGTGAGCCCTCAGCCTCTCCAAGCCCTCCTCAGCTGCCTGACAGCATCGGAGGTGGGGGCCGTGTGTGGCCTCCTCGTCGTCTTCTCCTTCCCGAATCCCTGTCCACCCACCATCCAGCTCCGGCAAGGCCGAGGTGCTCAGGGCCCAGTGCTCTGGCCCTGGCCGCCAGCTCCTGAGCTGGGCAGGCAGGTGCTGCGTGTGTCCACTGTGTCCACTGCAGGCAAGGGGAGGGGGAGGGTATCTACTGCGGGAGCACTCACCGTCCAGCCTTGCTGCCCTGTTTGCAGCCTGCTCTTGGCTGGGAGCAGCTTAGCTCCATGTGGAGCCGTGTCTGCTGCCTGGCCTGGTTGTGCACGTGATGGTGCAAACCCAAGGCCTTTCTCTCCTGGAAGGAGCCTCTGCTGAGGTGGGTGAGTACGTACTTGGCAGCAGATGAGGCCTCCCCAGCCTGGGCGCAGGTGGCTGAGGGAGCTGTAGGATCCAGCAGCTGAGGTGCTGTTGGCCTGACCTGCGCTCTTCTTGGTGCCAGGAGGTGGCCCGGGAGCTGGAGGAGAGCAAGTACCAGTACTCAGAGCCCCGGCTCTCCATCTACGGCCGCAGTCCCGACGAGTGGCCCAGCCTGGCCCGCTGGTTCATCCAGCACAAGGTCTACTCACCCAACATGCGCTGGATCATCCAGGTGCCCCGGATCTAGTAAGTGAGGCGGCCCGCTGTCTGCCTGAGCTCTCTGGGGCCCGACCTGTCCTGTGAGGGCCACTGAGTCTGCACTGTTGAGCGGTGGGACCTATTCCAGTGCCAATTGAGGCCTCTTCTCCCCAGGGATTTTCCTGTAGGAACGGGTGGTCAGCAGAGAGTCTTTGTGACAAGTTCTTACTCTTTAAAGAACATGTATGTGCAAATGCCTGGCAGGAACTGCTGCCTGTCTTCTTCTCACTGCAGGATGCAGATGTCCTTTTGGGTGAGTGGCCTCCATTGTTGGCCCTCTCCCTGGATCTGACTCAAATCGCCACTGCCCTCCCCTGTCTGGCTGGTGTGGGGGTTCATGGCCCTGGACAGGCTGGGGCTTGTGGTTTAGGGGAACTGAGCTGAGTGGCGGAGAGTTTGGATCACTGAGCGATAGGTAGACTCATCTCTCAGGCCCTTGGTCAGCCAGAGCCCCTCTGCCCTTCTCCCAGGGTGGCCTCTGGCTAGAGAGGGTGCCTTGATGGGTTGGGTAGGTGCTGAGTTCGCCAGCCGGTGCCTGGTGTTGCAGAAGTTGCAGGGTGGTTGGAGAGGAGGGGGAGGGTCTGTGTTCAGGCCACACCTCTGCCTTCACTCTGGGTGTTTGAATGGTGACACGAGCTGCCCGAGGAAGTGACTGAGGTCAACCTCAGACAGGCCAAGGGGGCTGTCGGGCCCACCCTGATCATCGTCTTCACTTTCCCCAGTGACATATTTAGGTCAAAGAAGCTGCTGCCAAACTTTGGGAAGATGCTGGAAAACATCTTCCTGCCCCTTTTTGAGGCCACAATCAACCCCCAAGATCACCGAGAGCTTCACCTCTTCCTCAAATATGTAAGTGGGGGTGGTGTCCCGACGAAGTGCAAGGCGGTAGAGCGAGGAGAGGATTCCCCCTGGGTCGGACCAGGCTTCTCTCCTCAGATCTTGGCCTTGCTGTGCCCCAGGCGTGGCGTTGCCAGTCCCAAGAGGCTGAATTCCTAAAACAGCACCTTCTCCCACCTGTGTCCTCAGAGGCGGCTCTGGGGGTGGGGGCGGGGTGCTGGGGCAGGGCTGCAGAATCAGCTCCTGGCCGGGTGGGGCTGGAAAGACGGGATCCTGCCCCAGCAGCACCGAGCAGCAGCCTCTGTCTTCTTTAGAAAGGCAGACGTGTCAGCTCTCCTGCTTTAGAAAGACGGTTCTCACACCTTAAGCACACAAGCCCCACAGAAGGTATTTACCTACCTTCTGTTAGTTATGGGAGAGAAGGGATGTAGGAGAGGCCAACCAGAAAGGGCATAAGGGGGCAGGAGCTGGTTGCTTGCTCTGTGTGCCTGGCATGGAGGTAGCTGGAGACAGTGAAAAGCAAGCTCAGTATCTGGGGGAGGTTATGGAGATGATTTCTGACAAGGAGGGAGGCAGGGAAGATGCCGGAGGGCTGAGGTCCTGGGGTGGGGTGATTGAGTGGGTGTGTGTGTGCGCGCGCACACGTGCAGGGGCTACCAGGAAAGGTTTGAACACGCTGAGGGACATCGTGGACTGTATGTTTTAGACAGAGGCCATCCTGGCTGCTGTGTGGTGAATGGCCCGGAACAGAGGTGGCTGCAGGTGGGGGGAGGGGGCGAGGTAAGAGTCAGGGGCCTGTCCCTGCATCAGATAGATGGCAGGGCTTGAACTCGCCGTAACAGCTCGGTTATCGCTTGCTGCTTGCCCCAGTGTCCTGTACTATGGCACGATTGTGCTTCAGCCTCCTCATTGCCCTACTTTACACCGTGGTTGGTGTTAATAACACTCAGTGTTTGTGTTTGCTGTGTGTCGGACCCTGTGTCAAGTGCTCTCTGGGGATTGTCTCATTTAATCCCCACACCAGCCCTGTGGAGCTCCCAGCTCCAATGTGCGCACGAGGAGATTAAAACTAACAGGTGGCAGAACTGGAACTCATCATATCCAGGTGCCTGAGTCCCGAGCAGGTGCCATTATCCCCACACCGTACTGCTGCCTAAGTAAGAAACCTGTGGCGTGTGCAGGAGGCAGGCCGGGGGCTCCAGGCAGAGTGGAGGGCATGGGTGTAGGTTGGTGGGACCCAGGCAGAGCCTTCAGTGAGCTAGAGGGAAGAGCCTAGGGGGCCTCCCGGTGCCTGGCTGTCTTGGGGAGTAGATAGTGCTCCTTGTAGGGGCCGTTTCTCACAGTGGGGGAGGAGCAGACTTAAGGAGGAAGGGGAGAGTTAAGGTCCAGTCCGAGGCCCTGCATCGGTTGGTTACAGAACCCAGGAGAGGGGCCGACATTACCCCCTGCCAGGCCCTGAGAGCTCCAGCGAGGCCTGGAGCTAGTGAGCACAGAGCAGAACTCGAGGTTCCCCCTGGCTCCCCACACCCTGCAGGCCATGCTGAGACTATAGTGGGGACTCTCCTATCGACACATACGGCTCTGTGACAGGGAATATTCTGGCAAGACCCTCGTGGTTCCTTGCTCCTTTGGGAGAGGAAGCAGACCCGGGCTTGGGCTGAGAGCCCCCTGTTTGGCAGGTAGTGGAGTGAAGTGGGCAGTCTTTCAGAAGCCCCTCCCCAGAGCGCTGCTGTGCGAGAGTGAAAGGAGGGGCAGTTAGCAAAGCTGCCTCACATGCTGGCCGAGAGCCCGAGTCCTCATAGGTACATTTGTGGTCAGGGCCTGACCTCTGGTGATGAGGAAGGTGACGAGGAAGCCTGAGACTAGAGTGGGGCCCCCAGGGTTGTACTCTGGGCCCCAGCTGACTTGGCCCAGAGGGCAGTTCCCAGGGCGGAGCTGGCGAGCAGAGCCGCCTCCTCCCAGAACCGTGGCTCAGCCTTCCAAGGGGCCACATTGAATGGGGCCCACCTTGGCCTGTTCGAGAAGCTTCCAGGCTATTTTTTCATATTTACACCTGGGACATGCCCTAGGGCATTCTCCACCTACAGCCCCAGAGTCCAGACGCTGAGCCCATTTAGGCTCAGAGCCTGGTGGTCTCCCATGAGCAAGCTGCTTAATCGCTTTGGCTCTGGTTTGCTCACAGCCAAGCCCTCCCTCACAGGGTTGCCCTGAGGATTAAGTTGGTTGATGTGTGGTAAGCCTTCAGGCGGGGCCTGAGGTATAGTAGGTGCATGGAAAATGCCTGTCCCCTTCCCCCTCAGAGGGGTGGTCCCTGCTGCTGATGGCAGTGGCTGCCCTGCAGCGCTGGTCTCCTGGGTATGGCTACCTCACTGTCTGCCTGGCCCGAGTATCCCCTTGCCATGACACAGGGGCTCAGCATTCTCCAGTCTGGCGTTCTGGGTGCCTTTGGAAGCCCTGGAGGCATAGATGGTGGCCTTGTGCCCACTCCCCATCCTCGGGAGTAAGGTGCCTCAGGCTGACCCTGGGCTCCCAGCTGAGGTGTGAACCTGAGAGGCCTGGACTCTGAGGCCTCTGGCAGCTCACTGGCCTAAGCTTGATGCAGGACCCCTTGTCCCTCCCAGGTGACGGGGTTTGACAGCGTGGATGACGAGTCCAAGCACAGCGACCACATGTTCTCAGACAAGAGCCCCAGCCCAGACATCTGGACCAGCGAGCAGAACCCGCCCTATAGCTACTACCTGTACTACATGTACGCCAACATCATGGTGCTCAACAACCTCCGCAGGTGGGTGAGCCGGCCCTGCACTCATGGCCACAGGCCCTCAAACCTCAGACCCAGGGACATGCCCCTGATGACTACACGGGGCCACCCACACATGCTGTCACGCCCACTGCAGACACAGTCCATCACGCATCCCACAAAGCCAAACCCCATGCCCGATACATACCTTTACATACATCCACAAACACCTACACATGCACCTGTCCTCCCCTGATGTGATACACAGACGTGCAAACACATGTGCATGTTCACTTACCACCACACTAGGTGTTCACACATGCAATTATTCATGAAACAAATTATTGTACCTGCTACGTGACAGGCTCTATCCTGGGCACTGGGTGCATATACACTGGGAACAAAGCAGACTAAACCCGTGTCCTCACAGAGCTGGCAGCCAGCAGTCTCACATGCACAGAATCCCGCCAGTGCACACATGCAGGGGAGGCACACGTGGCTGGGGTCGGGTGCCCAGGGCACAGGACACTGAGCTACCCATTCCCCTCGGGCTCCCACCCCTGCTGGGCTGTGGGGCTTCACTAGCTCAGCCTTAGCCAGGGCTCATTTGTGGGGGTGGAGGTTTTGCAGGGGACTCGCTGAAAGCACTCGGCCTGGTGTTGGGTGGGGGCCGAGCGTCTGGACATGGGGCCTTTGGTTCTGGCTCTGTCACTGACCTGCTCAGGGGCTTCTCATGTCTCATGCCACCCTTGGGTTCTCTGGGTTTGTCTATTTGCATAACAATGAAGTTGGACTCAGGGATTTCTCTTGGCTTCTCTGGCTCTGAAGGTCTGTGAATCTGGGCTGCAGGCCTGGCGAAGAGAGGAAGGGGAGGAGTGGGCGGAGGCCATGAGCCCATGTCCTCATAGGTACATAGGTGGGGCAGGGTCTCTTTCTCCCACAAGGCCCCCTCTCTGTTCCTCAGGGATGGCATCGCTTTGCTCTGAGGCATCTGGGCCTGGCCTCTGCATTTTGGAACAATTTCCAGGGTGTCCTGGGTCAGCTGTGCTCACTCTGCCATGGGTGACTGTCTCCCCTGGAGTAGGCCCTGAGCTAGGACCCCCGCCTGCCGGGTCCTGGGCAGTGTGGCCCAGGAGTTGTGGCTGACGCAGAGCCTGCCTCACTTGTTCTGCAGGGAACGAGGTCTGAGCACTTTCCTGTTCCGGCCTCACTGTGGGGAAGCCGGCTCCATCACCCACCTGGTGTCTGCCTTCCTGACTGCCGACAACATCTCCCATGGGCTGCTCCTCAAGAAGGTGACCGAGCTGTTCACAGATGCTGCCCTTCGCCCCGTGGTGGCGGTCCTGCCCTGGGCTCCCCTGGTGGGGGGAGTGGGGTCTCCTGGGTTCCTGTTTGCCCCCTGGGAGCCTCTGGCCAGTAGAGCCTTTTTCTGGGCTGGGCTGTCTGTAGTCGTCTTGGCTTCATATAAAATTATAGAATATAACACAGTTTGGATTTCCAGAACATGGAGAGATGGAGGAGAAAAACCTATGTTGCTATTGCTTTCATAGAAACAGACACAGCTTTTTAGTTTTTGCAGTTCCAAACTTTTTTCCCCAGAGCGTATTTCTAAATGCTTATTATAATAATGAACACAGATTTTTGGTTCCTTTTTTTGTCCGTTAACTTTATGTAATGAGCATTTTTCTGTGCTGCAACATGGAAGGATGGCCTGCTATTTGGATGGTCTATAACTGATTCGACCAATCTCTAGTTGTTGGGCAGAGTCCCAGCTTTTCCCTGATATAAATAGTGCTACCGAGAACTCTGCATTGGGGTCTTCTCCGTCATCTGGATCACTCCCGCAGGGACGGTGTCTGCTTGAACTGCTCCCTGCTCTGGTCCCGGGAGGTCTAACCACCAGGCACAGTTCCATGTGGGGTGGGTGCTGCACTGAAAAGCCACTCTAGCCCACTCAGGTCTGCCCCTTTTCACCCCTTGGGATCTGGAGTGTTTGCAGTCTCAGCCTGAACGTTTGCAGTCACAGCAACCAAATAACCAAGTGGGGCATCTTCTGGACTGACCAGTTGGGGTCAGCGCCTAGGGGAGGGGAGCGGAGAATGCAGGTTGGGGTCAGCTGGGCTGTGTAGCTGCCCTTCCTGCCCTGAGCTGGCCCCCACTTTGGAGGAAGGAGAGAGCACTTCCAACACTGGACAGGAGGGCAGTCCCAGGGAGAGATGGGCTGTGACTAGGAATGAGGTGAATGGAGATGCCAGGGGAGGCAAGGGTGATGGGTGCCGTGGCTTTGGGGAACTCAGGCTTGGTTGGGGACGTTTACAGACTCTGCCCGGCCCCTGGCTTCCACTGGGGATGCTTCTGCCCCGCTTCCTCCCTGCCCACCCTCTCCCCTCCCTCCCCTCTCTGGCCCTGGTCACCTGAGTTTGGTGGTTCCTTTGCAGAGTCCGGTGTTGCAGTATCTCTACTACCTGGCTCAGATCCCCATTGCCATGTCTCCGCTTAGCAACAACAGTCTGTTCCTTGAATATTCCAAAAACCCTCTGAGGGAATTCCTGCACAAGGGACTGCATGTCTCTCTCTCCACCGATGACCCCATGCAGTTCCACTACACGAAGGTGAGGACCTCAGGGGTCCCCGGCAGGCCCCAGTCCTGGCCTGCCACAGGCACCTGAGCGCACGGCTCAGTTCTGCTCTCAGGGTGGGTGGGGGCCCCGTGAAGACAGCAGGGAAGCTCCTGGTGAGGGACGAGTCCCTCCTGGGAGTGTGCTTTCGGGGTCCTTGAGTCTTTGAAGGCACAGTTTCAATTCCTTGCTTGTTCTGTTTTCCCTGCCTTTGAATTTACTAGCTCCGTGGTACTGGTGAAGTTCCTTGATGTCTCTCTCTGTTACTCCTTCTCATGTGTAAAACGGGGATAAAATTGGCTCTACATCTACCTGTACTGTATTGTGAGGCTCCACTAAGATAACGAACCACAGTCTAAAACAGTGTCTGCATATAGCATATAGCTCAAATGTTGGCTACCGTTTTTGTTAATACTGTTTTATTATTACACTTTGGATCTTCGGGGAAAGGAAAGAGGAAGGGAGCGGTGACGTCATGCACAGGGACCAGCCATTAGTGTGCCGAGCACATGTTGATGGCATCAGTAAGACAGCCACCGAGTAGTAAAAACAGAAGCACCAGCGTCTTCGAGGACAGATTCTCTGTCCAAGTGTTTGGTCTCAGGGCCTCTTCACACGCTCAAGAATGGGGGCCCTCAGAGCGCTGTTGTCTACAAGAGTTGTATCTATGACATTGAACTATGTTAGAAACGAATGAGAAGTTGAAAAATGTTAACTCATTTAAAGATAACATTAATAAACCTACTAAATGTTACTTAAATAGCAACTTTTATGAAAAGCATATTTCCTAAAACAAACTAAAGAAAATGGCATTGTTTTACAGTTTTGCAAATCTCTTTAATGTCTGGTTTAACAGAAGACAGCCGGTGTCTCATGTATGCACTCACTCTGTTGTGATAGATAAACCCGGTCTCACAAGGATATGTAGTTGGAAAAGGGAGGACCTTTTAAAAGGCCTTGGGGACCCCCAGGGATCCTGGGCCCACATTTTAAGAACCGCTGCTCTGGGACACAGAGGCGATGGGGTGGCGAAGAGGTAATGCAAGGGCTCGCTCATCAGGCACGTCACGTCCCAGAAGTTCAAGTGAAAGCACAGCCCAAACCCGAATCCCGCACTGTCTCACTACTTGTGCTTCATTCTCATTTTGACTTGGGGTTCAGTCGCTGCTCTTGGTACTATACTCAGATTAACTTTTATTTTTGGACAATCTTAAGAAAATGGTCTGTTAAATAAAAGACAAAGCTATAGAGCAGGTACTAGGTATTAAAGGTATGACTGACCCAGGAGCCGGTCATGGGAGGGCGGGCTGGTGCCCCGTGACCAGCTCGGGGCTTTGAACGTGTGCTGCTTAACAAATGCATATGTAGGCTCTTTGATATGTCTCTCCTCGGTAACCTGGGTAACCTGAGGCTTCACACAAAAAAGATCTTTTCTTCAGTTTGTCATTTAAGGGGGAGGATGTTGTTTGATTATCCAGGTACCAGTCATTAAATAAAAATTAAGTCTGCAGCATTTGATGTTTCTAACTTTGGAATCTGTGAGGCACTGAAGTGGCCGTTCTGCCATCTAATACATTTATTTCTGGGGGGATCTAGGAAGCGCTTATGGAAGAGTATGCAATTGCAGCCCAGGTGTGGAAGCTGAGCACGTGTGACCTGTGTGAAATCGCCAGGAACAGCGTGCTGCAGAGCGGCCTCTCGCACCAGGTACGGTGTGGGTGGTCCTGTGTCTCTCGGACTGTGGATACGTGCACAGTGAGTGCCGGTGTGCCTGGCGCTTTCCAGGCTCTGGGGCAGCGAGGGAGGGGACAAGCAGGGTCTCTGTTGCACTGAAACCCGTGTTCTAGGGAAGAGTACTGAGGAGGAGACTTGTGAGTTTTCCTGGCTGATCTGTCCATTTTTCAGACCTCTACGCAAATGGCTCCTCCTCAGAGGCCATCTCCAACCACCCATTCTACAACAGACACATTTGCCATCATTCTCCATCCCTTTGATCTACTTTTCTTCATAATATTTATCATTATTTATCTTGTAATAGGTAGTTATGTGTTTTTCTGTCTTTCTTGAATGGAATTTCCATTGGGGTGGAGACTGTTTTGTTCAGCATCATATCCCTAGGGTCTAGAATAGTCCCTGGCACATCCTAGGCGCTTGGTATTTGTTGAATAGATGAACAGTACTTAGATTGATTAAAAAACTCTAGGGATGGGACCTGGACATCAGTAATTTTTTTTACAGCTTCCTAGGTGATTCTGATGTGTGGGGTTGAGACCCGCTGCTCTAGATGGTGTCTTAGGTCCCTGGGCACCCCCTCTGGGTGATGTCACTGGCACAGGAAGGGGGCTGTATTGGTGCTGCTCTTATAGATGCGGATGCAGAGGAGCTAAAGGCTGCGGACTCACTTTGTGTGTTTAGTTCCTGGGACTGGCTTTCCCCAACACCTGACTGTCTGCCCTGGTCAGCTTTCAGGAGGGACTTCTTAGAGCCTTCACCTTGCCTTTGTCCTCACCAGCAGTCATCTTTCCTTTCTGATCAAGGACAGGATAGTGGGAAATGAAGGGTGACATCCTTGAGGACCCGGAGGCCAGGAGGAATTTCCTGAGAGCCTTGTGGGGCAAGAGTCCTGACGGAGGACCTGCTGAGGGGCGTGTCTGCATGCCAGAGCCGCTGTGTGGGACAGAAAGTGAATCCAAGGTGTATTGTTTCATTTGTGTTTCTCTTGGTCCCCAGGAAAAGCAAAAGTTTCTGGGACAGCATTATTATAAAGAAGGACCTGAAGGAAATGATATTCGAAAGACGAATGTTGCTCAGATCCGGATGGCGTTCCGATACGAAACCTTATGCAATGAGCTCAGCTTCCTGTCCGATGCCATGAAGTCACAAGAGATCACAGCCCTGGCTAAGTAGGTACAGCAGTGGACATGCATTTTAACTTTCTGGTTTAATTTCAAGTCTGCCGTGATTAACAGTGGCCCAGATACCATGCTTGGAGTTGTCCTCCAGGGAGAGGATGCCTCTGAAGAGCTTTCAAACCCAGCGATTTTGGTTGCACCATTCACTTGAGGATCTAACACACCCACTTCTGTTGGTATTTCTGAGTAACAGATGGTGACTACTCCTCGAGGGCCTGGGAAATGGACATTTGTATTCATTCCTAATTTTCCAAATATTTCTCTTGAAACCGCTAGTGCTTGCACTGCTGGGGCCAGGGTCTGCCACGGTCCAAGTGCCTACTGACCCGGGTTCCCTGTGGTTTTCTGCTGTAGTCAGTCCGCTACAGCAGTCCACTGCAGGCCCCGTGGGTAGCTGCTCCTTGTTCATTTCAGCCCCATGCTGGCTGGCTGCCTTAAACACAATCAATTTCAAAGCTCCCTTTCACAAAGGAACTACTTTGAGAGGGTTAAAATAGACAGCTTCCTTCTTTGCATTTTTAATGAATTTCTTAAACTGTTTTATTTAGCCCACCACCCTCCTTTCCAGTTAGGAAGCCAAATGTGCACATTCAAACAGTCACTCCTATCCTGTCTTCATTTCCTCATCCTAAAAGTGAGGGCTTGGATTAGATGAGAGGTTTGCAAATGGTGTTCGGTGAATGCCCCCACCCCCCCTACCCAATTTCAGGGTTGGGAGCGCCAGGGGAGTGAGGTTGCGGGTGCTGCCTTTGCCTCTTCAAGGTGACTCTGCTTTCATCAAGTATTTCATTGGGACTTCGACATATTTTTATTTGAACTGAGGACTTTGAGAAGCACCAGACTAGCTGCTCTCTGTTCCTTTTGGCCCCAATACTCTACGACTGTAGCCCAGTTATCATTTTACTTGTGAAGAACTAGGGCCAGAGAAGAGAGATTACTTAAGCTCACCCAGCTAATAAGGAATAGGACTAGAGCTACGTTTCCTTACTCCTACTGTAGTCCTTTCTCCGCTATTCCATGAAGCCTCATGAATGCTGTAATTTTTATCACTGTAGCCTGGTGCCTTTCTTTTTAAAGGCAAAATTTCTCCCTCACATAATACATGGACTTTCTCAGAAGATGTTACGTGGTCGTAGGGGCCAGGTAGAAAGTATTTTTTAAGACCGATCTGAATTTAACCTTTACCAATGTACTCATCATCTGTGTTACTAGTGCCTGGCACATAGTAGGTGCTCAATAAATGTCTCAATAAATATATGTTGAATAAAGGGACTTCCCTTTTGGCAACGTTTTAAGGGTATGTACTCCCAGTACACAACACACTGCTCAAGGGCCTTCTTGGCCATTACTGTGGGCAGATGTGGACTGGGGGACATCCTTCTGAATCGTGGGGTTGGAAGAACCCTATTTTCATCTGTGGAAATGCTCATTTAATGTCAGAATTTCTTGTCCTGTGATTTTACTTTATAATGCTTGTCCCCCCCTCCACTGGTCAACTTAGCATATGAACAATAAATGTAGTGTGTATTTTTTTAAAACTAAACAAGTATGTATGCTATCTTACAGCTAATCAAGAAATTGAATGAAAACCCAGCATTCATCTTAGTCATTCATTATTTTTGAAAAGCCCCCATTTGTATACATTTGTTCTAATATCACAAGCATTGTACAGTTTTCATTGTTGTTTTAGCTGTATCAAGTATTTGTTTTTAATTATTAAATAAAGTCTGTTAGGATTATGGCTCAATAATTTAAAACTACTTCAATACTATTTAAAGAAAATGTTTAAGTTTTCTACTGTAAGAAAGGTCTGAGCATCATTAAAAGCTATCAATAACTACCAACTGATGTTTAATTAAGACTCAGACATGGATGACATTCACTAGGAAAACTCAAGCTCACTGGACCCAGAAGGTAAAAAACCTTTGCTTCCTTTTTCTCTAACTTCTGCCACACATGTTCATTCCCTGTTCCATGGGTAACACTTGAATCTGTTCAGCCAACACTTACTGCATTTTGCCTGTCCTGCAAACTCCTCAGACACCTTCCTTTTTCTCTAGCACTTTGCATTGTTATTAAATCATTGTACCCAGCTGGCCATTTTGGGGGATGAATCCTACTTTCTTTCCAGGAATCAAAGGTACCTGTTTCTAAAAGAGCAGTTTTTGAGGTGTGTTATCCCTCATTCTAAAAGGTTCAGCTTCACGTTGTGCATTCCGTACTTCAAACTGCATTGCTGACATGATTAGTGTTGTTGCCTTTCGTCTCGTGAAAACAAAGCACAGCTCCTGCGTTGGTATTTACCAAGGCCTGTCCTGGGCCTTTACTTCCTCATAGTCTGCATTAAAGCAGAATTGCAAACCATCCCTCTGGGTTTCTCTTTACTTGTTCCTGAGTGCTGTGTTGATGAAACAATATTCATCTTTTTCTGGATTTGTAGATACAGCTGAAGGTGACATATTGGTAATATGCCTGACTATTCTATGCCCAAACAATGACTATATTATAAAGAACAAGTGTAACTAACTTCAATAGAGGAATACTAATCATACAAATATAGTTCCCTGGGAATTTTTACACCCTCAGCCTCTAAATAAGTATTTTATTAGAAAGATGATGCCAGAGAATAAGATGATAAAGAATAAGTCAGCCTTGGCTGGTATAGCTCAGTGGATTGAGGGTGGGCTGCAAACCAAAGGGTTGCCAGTTCAATTCCCAGTCAGAACACATGCCTGGGTTGTAGGCCGGGTCACCAGTTGGAGGCGTACAAGAGACAACCACAGATTGATGTTTCTCTCCCTCTCTTTCTCCTTCCCTTCCCCTCTCTCTAAAAATAAATAAAATCTTTAAAAGAAAAAAGAGTAAGTCGCAGCTGCAAGATCACCAAAACTTATCTGAAAAGGCTTTTATGTCTTTTGATACCAAAATGTGTTCGTCTCCATGGTGACATATGTCAGTAAATTTAATTATAAATTACCATTCCTTCTTACAGATGGCTTTCCCCTTCTCAGCACTAAGATTCTAACATGCTTCTCTAATCACATTAATTTTATCTTAGAAATGATTTTACAAGGTAAACATCAAAACTGTCACAGGATGGAATATTTTATCAATTATTTTTATTGTCCAGTAGGGTAAAAAGATAAAACAAGTGAAAGTCTGCTGTAAACGGTTTATATTGTACTGCCTTTGTGTTGTTCAGCATGCATGTGGGTGATCAGCTGAATTTCCTAATCCCCATGTAGTTTCTCATTCCAGGACAGAGCAGGTTAGGCTTGACTTAAATGAAGAAAGCAGTTAAGGTACAAATTCTTTGAACTGCCTTTTAATGAATCCAACTTCCCAATGTTAAAAATCACTGAACCAAAAGATATTTTCAAGAAGCCTCATTACACAGATATATATTAAATAAAAGAAAATTGAGTCCAATTTTAAATGAATTTGCATCACAAACCCCCAGGGCACAGTATAAAATAGTCCTTTAAGGAATATAAATGTTTAGTGTTTAAGACTATGAAACTACATAAGAAGAAAAGTCTCTTCAATTAACTAAAATTTACTTGAAAAAGATGATTTATTGCACAATATTATCAGTTTATCCTAAGAATAAAACAAATACTATTACTGTCAACTTCTAAATTCAGTACACAGTCAAATCCATTTTCTTGAACTAAAGTTCTATAGCATTATAATGAGTAATCCCTTTGTTACTGGGTTAGGGAAGGGAAAACTTTGTAACATAAATTTCTTAGAGTTCATGAAACCATTTTACAAATCATAGAAGGCACATTATATTTCCTATCATAGTAAGTGCATTTAAGTACCTCATAATTAAAAAGACAAAGCTATACAAATACAAAAAGTATACATTTCATCCATTAAACATATTTACAACTTTTATGATTAGTTATTATAATACAACATACCTAATATTCACATGTTAAGAATTATTACCCAGTTTAATGGAGTGAACAAAAACTGCTCATTTATTAGATAAGGCTAAGTAAGAATAACATTTTATATTTCACAGTAGGTGAGTTAGTTTCTTGGAGCTCATGATGACAAATAAAAAGGTTTGGGCATTATTAAGTTGCTGTGCTTACTGTTAAATAATTCATTGAAAGGTGAGAGATTCTGAGGGATAAAATCACTAGCTATTCCTGGGAAGGATCCAAAAATCTTAAAGCAACCCTGTTCACCTTCAGAAACAATCATAAATTAGGCAATCTGAATTGGACTTAGCAAGTCTAATCCAAAAGGACAATTTAAAATCTTAGAGCTAAAAAACATATCAGGGGATCATCTATGCCAAGGTTTTAAAAATATGTTCTCTGCTAATGCTCCATGGAGGAGAGTCAGGGTACTGCAAATATAACTTGAATTTAACTTAAAATTTTTTTTTGGAAAAAAAAGTTAATTTAAAAACCAAGTCCCATCATACAACTGTGTTACTCACCAGATTCTAATATACTGCATGTCACCAATGCATTAATACATGTTTTCACTGACTGACTTTATAATATTTAGTATAATAGTATATGAAGTTTACATAAGGAAATTTATACTAATAAAACATGAATTTATAAAGGAGTATGTGGTGTGTGCACATGTGTACTTGGGGGAAAAAATTCTAGTGCTGAAATAAAGTGTGAACACCACAAATGAAGTCCAGTTTATAAAGTATGAACCTACAAGCCAGAGGAAGGGACTTTCTCAAGGTCACACAACCATACAGTACACAGCCAGGTCAATATGACAGAGCTCAGGACTTGGCACAGATATCCATAGTGAGTGCTAACTTGGTACTGACCTGCCCCCATCATGAATGTCCACCAATTAGTTACCAGTATTTTGGGGGTAAAAGTCAAGCCACCTTTGGTCAGACATCAAAAATGAATTATTTAATTTGCATGCCTATTAAAATCCTAGTATCCAAGAATTCTGTCATCAATAAGCAGCAACCTTAATTGTATACTTTGGTACTTCAGAAGATATTTGCAATTTACAAAGAAGTCAGGTAAGTTACATGGAATATTAACATTCTTTTCAAAGGAGACATCAGGCCCTAGTTTTATTACATGCTGAAATGACAGTGTAACATGAAACAAAAATTTTACTTTATAAGCAAACATTTTTAAAAAGATGGTTGAAGTGACATTGAACATTATAATTCCATTATGACTATACTCTTTCAAAGTATTTCAAAACAAGTAGAATGAAACAGTAAGAAAGCCAAATTGTCTCCTAGTTTTCAGAGGTGTTTTTATGTGCATATTGTGAAAAGGCTACATCCTATTTTCTTCTCCCTTAATCTAAGAAAATTGTGGTCTTGGCCTCAGAAAGATGCTTTCAAGTTAAGAAAATGAAAGTACCATAAACCAATATTGAATGATTTTTCATAATTTGGACATGTAAAATTTAGGATCTGGGATGAAAATTTTCTTCTGAAACTCCAAGACGTATGAGCATTTTCCAAAGCTATGTAGAACAGTTCCCCAGCTGTGGGAAAGCGTTTCTAGAGCAGTCAAGAAGATTCCCCATCAGAAATCCATTCACATGGCAAAGCTGCACCTGACTTTATATAGTCTTTACCCAAATTACACAGCATGGGGGGGAAAAAGCTTTTTAAGTAAAAACCATGTAATTCTGAAACACATGACTAATGTTATGAAAGAACTATGGAATTTTTCAAGTAAAAATTATTAAAGGAGCAGTAATTAACCACAAGGGGGCATACATACTCCTTAGATTCCAGCAGAAAGACTAATTTAAGTAGTAACATGCACTTTGATGTATTCTACATTTTCAGTCATTTAAAATTGTCTCTCAGTGGCTACAACTTTTTAGCATTCATGGTTTATTTTAAACCCACCTAAATAGATTTCAGAATACTCCTACCCTGAAAAATAGTAGTGCTTCAGAAGCCTCTGGTAATGTTGTGGTTACCTCAGCAAAGTATTCAAGAGCAATTAGTTCTAATATACTATATTAGAACAGGTAAGTAATAGGAAAACACGGTCTAAAACAGTAGCAAATTTTAGTTTACCATAAATGGAAGACATGAAAAGTTTATCAAAAGAAATGGGACAAACTGTCGGAAAAGGGAAAAAACGAGAGGGTGGGGAAAAGTGAGCTCCCTGTGCCTGTGCCACGCATCCCTGCATGCTTTCTCCATGACCCAAGTGTCTGGAGCCCACAATAGCAACAAAACACCTCGCCCCAAGGTCATGGTCTATGAGGCTGGCCAGCCTCATCAGCCATGTTAAGAATATAGTTAGCCATGTCATCTTCAGTGGGTGCATCTGACACCACCCAAGATTCATTTGCTCCAGTCATCTGCAGGCGACAAATAGGGCAATTCCTGTGTCGGTCACTCCTGTTAGAGAAGTCAATTAAAGAACAGTTTTTCTTTTTCTTTTTAAAACAGGTTTGTTTGAAAAGTAATACGTGTACATGGTTTTTTAAAAAGTAAATAGCATGAAAGTACACAATGAAAAATAAATCTCCCCCTCCATCCCAGTCTTTGATTCTCACCCCCAGGGGCAAGCACCACTACCAGCCTGTTATATACTCTTCTAGAGATAGCCCAGGCATGATCAAGGTTGTGTGTACACACGCACAGCTGCTCTTTACATTTTTTTAGATTTTTACTTATTTATTTTTAGAGAGGAGAAGGGGGAGAAAGAGAGGGAGAGAAATATCAATGTGTGGCTGACTCTCTTGAGCCCCCTACTGGGGAACTGGCCCACA